GCTCTGGCTGCACCTCCGGTGTGTTTTCAGAGAAGTCGCCCAGGCGCGGGCTAGCTTCGGGGGTGTCGCTGGCAGAGCTGCTGCGGGAAATCCCAGCCCAGCCCCTGCGCTGGGCAGATACGCTCCGATTAACCAGCAAATCTTACCTGCTGGTACGTCTTATTCCACTTGAAGAACGGCGTGAGTTCTACACAGAGAAACAGCCTTTCCCTTGTATAATTTGCATTTCTACCAGAAGCATTTGTTGATACATATTTACCCAAAAATGCTTTGCGGTGCAATTGGCTCTTTTTTTTTTTTTTCCCCTAAATGTCCTTTTCAGGGGCAGCGAGTAGGACCAGACTGCTTCCGACGGGGGCTGCGCTGCGTGCTTCTACAGCAGGTCTGTTTTAGGAATCTTCGCAGGCGTAACGCTGTCGATCAGTGGAATGAGTTTGGTGAGAGCAGTTTATCAATCTCTAAATGATTTTTTTTGAACTAGTCTGGGTTATTTGGCAAGGACGCTCTCTTACTGCAGGCAGCTGGATCGCCATCAGAAAGCGTCTCCTGATGGGACTTTTCTGGCAGTTCACTCCAGAAGGGCCAGCAGGTGACCAGCCACCATCGTTCAACGACCAGCAGTTGGGTGATGGTTCGGTTTGGGGTTGTGCACGCAGCATAAGGGCTAGATGTGCTTAATGATTTGCTTTGTCTTATAAATTAGTGAAATAAACCTTGGAACTGGAATAGAAAATGAACGTTCCTCATTACAGTGCAGAGCTTTTGATCTGCGGCGTCCTAATCTGTCCCTGTTCTCCCCCTGCAACAAACACCATGCTGTTCGTGCCCACGCTCCGTGCCGGCCAAGTCCCTGTGAACAACCTCTTAATTTGGGGGGTCCCACGTTAGTACAAATTACTGGGAAGAGCAAAAACTGCCGTGTTGCCATTTTACTCAGATTAATATGCAAATCAGGAGGCAAATGCATCCAAGGAATGTAGGTCATGGTGGAAACGTGCAGAGCGGGAGGAGAAGGGACGAGCAATGGGGAATTAGGAGACTACCTCGAAAGGCCTCCTCTGCCTTCAGCTGGTTGTTGCAACTCCCGTTGGGTCTGTTGGAGTCATTCAGCGACTCTTCCGCTGGACCTTGGTTTTGTGATGAAGCTGAAATCTCATAAAGACTCCTTCGCAATGCAGGAGCAGCGTTTCCCGGGGCTTTCGGAGAACACGTGTTTCTCTGCAGCACTCACAAGGGAAAGGAGATGGCCAAACACCTATTTGAGCCTGACCACGACCGCACTGCCTCACGCTGCTCAAACAGCCGCGTCCGGGAGGACAAAGTCTGTTCCTTTGTGTAGAAATGTGGTCTGAAGCTTGTTTGCACACCTCTTCAGTGCAGGTTTTTGAGCTGCTATTCCTCAGAAAAAAACGTGCTGAGGAATGGACAAACCAAGCTCTTTAGAAAGGTGGACTGAGCCAGGGTCAGACAAATAGTATCTTTGCTGATCTCCGATGCTGCTAAACTGAAGTCTGAGCCAGTTTTATTTGCGTAGGCTCTCCCCTGAATGTGCAGCATTCACAGGTTGCAGATGACGCTGCTTGTGCTGCCTACAGGTCTAAAAAAATTATCTTGATTTCCATTTGGAATATTGGTACTAATTGTGTTCTTTAAAGAAGTGACCAAGGCGATTATCTGCATTTTAAAGCAGGAAAACGGAGATGTGGCAAGTAGGCAGGCTAGTAACCAAGGCAAAATACAATCCCGAGCTCCTGAATCCCAGTCCTGTGCTTTTTCTGCACCTTCCATCTCCAGCCTTCCCCCACCACATAAGCCACCTCCATGGGGCAGGAGTGGAGCCCAGGGGGCTAAGGATTTTTGGTTTTATCCTCTCCTGCAATCAGCTTTGATGATGCAGAAGGCAGCTCCCAGCTCTGGGCTGGGCCAGAGGTTCAAAAGGCTGCTTGCCAAGCCCGTGGCGCACGCTGCTGCACAGCCTCTGCCCCGGGCCAGCGCACTGACGGGAGCCGCAGTCCTCCTCTCAGCTCTGTCACTTGTGAAAGCATCCTGGCTAAACGTCACAGCTCTCACTCGTTCACGTGAAAATCCTACTGTGTTCAGCCAGATTTGGGCTTGACGCAGTGAAATTAAGGAGAATCTCTCAAGCTGAGGGATTCATAAAACAGTCCAAGCCTTAGTCTCTGCCTGGAAAACACTCCCATGATCGTCCTACAGTGTCCCTTCCACAGTGTGAACGGCAACATAGGAAACCCAAATGCAGAAAGGCCGTTGGACTGGTTTTACTTCAAACTAAAGGCAACATATATTTTTGTAAGATTACAGCAGCGCATTCTCAATACCTCTCAGTATTTCTTTGCACCTGAAGTCGTAGGGCACCGGGTATACTCATCACAGCCTGCCTAAATACTATCTTTTCCTTAATCTGCTCAACAAGGGGGAGGAATGAGCTGAGTCACCGCACAAACTTGTTGGCAGAGCCTGGCCCACCCCACCCACAGGACCCGACCTTGGGAGCTCCCCACCTTTGTGTTGCAACCTTCCTACGGAGCCTCCGAGCACCTCCCCGGGGAATGCTGTAAGGACGAGGGCTCTGTTGTTGCTGGGTGTTTCTCTATCACACTAGCTCATCGCTGCGATGCCTCCAAGGAAGGAGTAGTGCAGAAATTCCTTGATGATACATGTTGCAATGAAGTCTTATCTCAGCTGTGACTTCTTGCTTTTCCTTTGACACAACAATACAGGAGCAATGAGACCTTCTCCCTATTTCCTTACGGTGAAGTCATAACCACGCTTTACGGGTTGGTCGGTTGTTTTTTTTAAGCAGAAAACACTCCATCCTTGAACCTTGCCTCTGACTCAAGTGGGTTTTACTCAAAATTAGCACTAAAAATTCAGCTATGGGATCTGAATAGGTATCAAGCGTATATCTGTAACTAATGAACAAACTTCCCAATAAGATGGAGTCAAACTGGAGAGTGTTTCCAATTCACACAGAAACAGAACGCTTTTACCAGGCAGCGTCAGTCCTGCCAGTGCCTCAGACGCAACACAAACACACGCGCACGCTTCTGTGGTTTCAGGAAATACAGAAAAAAAAAAAAAGTTTAATGTCAGTAAACTACAACTCTGCAAGCTGACATAATGCAGCACAAATCAAGGTTTCAAATGACCACACTGGTCAATGGTCACACCAACAGCTACGGAGCAAATAGGATTTTATTTTTTTTAAACCCTACTCCAGATATAGAAGTCATGAGGTGCTTGATCATTAACGTTTGCTTAACAACTTAATTAGTTCAATACGGAAGCAGACCGGTGCAGAATAATCCAGTCTCTTCCGAGAGCGGATGGATCAGACCCCTCTGCAATCGCTGATGACACTGACAAGGAATGTCACCAACTCCAGGGACTTCAGGGAGAATGTTTTAAAGTAAAAGAGGGCAGCGCCTCCACCTTCAGCGCAGTCCTACAGCATTCCTTGCGTTTGGGAGAAGCCAATTACAGCCAATTAGAAGTACTAGGCTTAATTCAAGGCTAAAAAAAAAAAACATTCCTGAAGTCAGTGAGTTGGAAAGAAAGGCAAAGCATGCAAACAAGTGTTTCAGTACAGAAACCGAAACCCGTGACAGGGCTGAAAAGCAGAGAAAGCGCAGTATTGCCACCACCTTCCTCACCTCTGAATTATACAGGTTTTTAAATTGTTTTTAGAGAAAACGTGATGGTTTAGCAGACTGGCCCCAGGAGTCAGAGTTTCTGTGCTTAGCTTTGCCTCTTCACACTTACTTTAACCAAATAGTAATTAAAAAAATAATCATCTCACTGCAAGTGTATTATTTAACCTGCAGTCAGCATGCTTTTTGGAGCTATGTGTAGTTCTATATATAGAACAATTATGTTTATAATATAAAAGAAGAAGAAGAGTTAGTTTTATGTCGATTCATGCTGTTGAGATAAACATTGCTTCAAGAGGTCATGCAGACATTCTATCATGAAACACCTAACATAACATAAAGCCCAATTTTTATAAGTATTTATTGTAAATAGGTCAAAATCAAAGGCCAAGTTTTAAATAAAAAGAATCAGACATACGAGCCTAACTTTGTTTCCAGTTGGCTACTCAGAAACTCTGCAGGATCTGATTCGCAGTTTTTCAGTTCAGTTTTTCACTATCAAATATCAGCAAGGTTTTTATTCAGATTAAGTGATTGAGCTATAGTCAAGTTTAAATGTTCACAGTATCGTCAAGACATGTGGTTAGTACCACCTGGTTAAAAAGTCTTTCAGGAAGAGAAAAAAAAAATCTAAAATGCTAACCTAGCTTTTAAACCGAGGTAGACAGGTCACGGTGACTTGAGTGCTGAGGGTTTATTTTTTTGTTTTTTTTAAATCTGTTCATCTAATAAAATGCTTCAGGCAATGATTGAGATTGTTATGTTGGTATTTCTGATAGCAAGAAACTTTGTTTTGAAAAAGTACACAATCTTTTTAAATAGAAATATTCCTCTTCTGTTACCAAAATAATCAGAAACATCATAGAAAACTATGCATCTTTCCTCTAATAATTTAAGCCTGCTATATAACAAGCCACGTTAAAGTAGCCAGCTACCAGCTTGCTATTCACAGTGTAGAATATGCAATTCTTTACCTTACTTTCGCTCTCCAGCCGAGGAACACAGATCAAGAAGGCTATACCTTAAGCATTTTAACCTGTCTACACACACAGAGGTTGGTTTAGTTTTCCAACCATTAAGTATAAAGTTTGTGGTCTCCGCCGATACATCAGGATGACAGTACATACAGCATTTAGGGCAGCTCCCTTTCCACAGGCGTCTGCGAGCTGGGTTTCATCCAGTGGCCTTTGGAGCCAGACTCTATCACTGATTCAGTTAAACATCCAAAAAGAGAGTCACGGAGATAAGAAATCCAAGCTGCTTCTGCGAGAGAAAAAATCAAGACCCTGGTCATATTATTCAATAATTTTGATCCCAAGAAGGCAGAGCCTAGTGGCCAAAGAACAGCTCAGAAACGGGTCTGCGTTTCACGACGACCTCCTCTTCCTCCTCCTCCATTACCTCGGAGAGGGAGGAATATGAAGGGAAGCCCCCTCTGGTCTTTGGCTTCCTCCTCGGGCCCGTAGTGGCAGCCAGGAGCTTGTTTAAGGACGAGGGCTTCCTTAAACCTTTGGTGAGATCGTAGAAAGCCATGTCATCAGATATGACCCCCAGGAAAGTGCTAGTGGAGCTCAAGATTGAAGCCGCAAGCTTTGTGCTCTTCTTGATGGGCATGGAGGGCTCCACGTTATGGGGAAGGCTGGGGTCCCCCAGCAAGCGCCTGACCGCAGAGGAGGTCCCTTCCTTTAAATACTGGTGCGGCTTCTTCCCGCTGTAGTCCCTCAGGTCGGTCTTGGCGTGGTAGCTGTAGACCAGCATGGTGATGATCTTCTCCTGGCCGTGTAGAGTGATTGTCCCCGGGCCGTTTATGGCGCCCGGGTGGAGTGCCGTGTAGCCGCTGTGCGACCTGGCATCCACGTTGACGCGGGCTCCCCCCTTCTCGGCCGCTCTGATGATATTTGTCACCATGTCACAGTTGCCGCTGCGCGCGGTCAAGCGTGAGATGAACGCCCTCGGGCCCGCCAAGCTGCCGTCGCCCAGCAGCAGCCCGTGGAGCTGCTGGGTCCACTGCCCGCCGGCCGCCATCACCAGCCACTGGTGCCCGGCCTCCCCCCGGGGCGGGCCCGGCCCCG